CCATCCCTGGAGGGGGATTTAAAAGATAGGTAGACATGGTGCTTAGTGATATGTTTAGTGATGGCTTTTTTTATCAGTTAGGTTGATGGTTGGACTAGATGATCTGAAAGGTCCCTTCCAACCTAGACAATTCTATGGTTCTAAGGCTTTGTGTGAAGAAGTCTGGGTGTATCTGTTAGAATAATAAAAAAACTACGTGATTCCTTTAGGTGACACATCGGCTCATCTTGTGCAGCTGGGACCGGCATCCAGCACAGCAGCGAAGCAGGGCAGCAGCAGGTTTATGAACAGCTTGTTGCTCATGCGTAGCAGCCTGGAGCATCTCCCAGAGGAGCAGCCCCTTGCTCTCAGCACCTACTCATTCCAAATCTGATGGGAGGCAGGAGCCGCCACCTTGTAGAAAAGGAAGATATCACCAGCATCACAGCTTGTGCAGAAGCTGCATTTCTCAGCTACCATTGTGTTTCTGCTGGCACTCAAACCCTCTCCTTTCAGAAAGAAATGTGACCTGTTTTACCACCCTAGGACAACAGTTAGCCACTCACCTAGGACAGGAGTTCCCAGGCTTTGTTTAGAGGAAGAAATGCACTGGTGGCATCAGCAAAAGTTTCTTCCGTGCTGCCCCAGTCCCTTCCTCACTGTCCCCCACCCTCCCTTATTCATCTGCAGCAGCTCCTAGCTCTGTGTACAGGAGGGGATCTAGCTGGGTCTTGCCAGAGATGAGGTAGGCATGGGTGGTTTTGATGGTGTATTTTTGGAAGTTTGATTTTTAGGGAGGTTATGCGTACTCTTTGGAAATATATTGCAAATTGCAGTGGTACATGTACCACAGTTTGGGAACCTGGACTGATGGTGTATCTTAAGAGTACAGCTCTCCCACACACAGGTTCTCCCGGGTGGACAGGCAGGGGTTCATGCTGACACCTCTCAACACAACAACGTCACATGGCTTTAGTTAAGCTGGAATGGCTTTGTTCTGAGATCCACTATCTATCCAAGTGCTAATCTTTCTTTATATCTTACCTATTTATTATTTGCTTTATGCCATTGTGAAGTAGGATTTTCTACTTCTAAAAGCACTTCATATTTGCTGACTTTTGTAAAATTTATTGGTTGCCCTTACCCAATTCCTGGTTTGATTTCTAGTCCACACATACATGTGTGTGCATGCGTGTACATATACACATATGCATTGTTTGCACACACAAAGCAGAGCACATTGGTCCCAATTATGTTTTGTTACCTTCTCAAAGAACAGTCCAGAAGGCTGCCCATCTGCTTTTCCCGTGCCAAAGCACACTTGGGGAAGGAGAGTAGTAAACTTGAGTAAATAAAATATGTGATAGATAAGAGCAGACCATTGGGACTGTCTGTGTGTGGAACAACCGAGCAAACTGAAGGGCAATTCATAAACCCAGCAGTGTCGATACCTAAAGGAGCATATTGCTCCAGATGGCTTCCTGTTGTGTCATCCTCTCTCTGTCCCCATGCTTTCCTCTTGTGTTTGCTGCTTTTATGCTGGTGAGGCTAAATCTTGCTAGAATCCCAGCCTGGTTTACCTGCATGATGCTCTAAGCACTGGTAAGCGTAGAAACGTGATGGTTTAAAGTTTAAAGGAGGATTTTTTTTTTTTTTTTTTTTCAGGCAGTGTTTTCAGAGAGGTGTAATTTGGAAAGTTTACAGTTTGAGGAAACAGGTTGAAAATGACCTATTTCACATTTTCTCCTAGCAGAAGTGACGCTGGTTTGCCTAAATAGTCTAGTCTCTTAAAAGAGGTAGCTTTCCAGAAACCTCCACCTGGTAATGTGACTCAGCTGATCTTTTCTTTATTAGACAAAGAAATTTCTTCTCAGCTTACACTGAAGTGGCCTGAAAAACTCCAATCTAGAAAAGAAAAAACAGGCTAAGAGAGGAAGGGGTTTTACTTGGTCTGTGTATTCTTTGCACAGACTGTTGGCTGAAAGAGGTCCTACTGGCTCAGGAACATTTCATACCATAATCTTTCTGAACATCAAACTTTGTATTCAATCCATTAATGGAAGAATTCTCAAGGTTTTTAATTATTTCAAGTTTAATTATTTCATTTATGCTTGCCAGTTTCTTTTTATTTTTCTTGCTCCCATATTATTCTTTGGCTTAAATTGCTCATCTCCCTCGTTTGTATCGTTCTGTCCCAAAAGCAGCATGCAGACAGCAACTGTAGTCTGTGTTTTCCCAAGCTGAACAAACCAAACACTGTTAGTTTACTGTGGGAAGAGACTCTGTACTCCCGCATCATTTTAATGGTTTTTTTCTCTGTTCCTTCCCAGCATGAATTAATCTTAGAGCACGTAGGTGATGGTGAGGGGCTCGCTAGTTCTTTGTATAACGATACCCACAATGCTGAAAATTCCCTCTATTTTCTGGAAATGCCTTGGCTACTACAGCATCTATTTATTCATTTTTACCTTTCTTACAGCTGCATCACACAGATAAATATTCTAAAACTGACTAATTCACCTACCCCTTTCTTCTCCTGTCTCATTCTCAGGTCAGAGCAGAAATTCCTGTTGCTACCCCCCCACCCCCTGACCTTGTCCTCTTGGAAGCTGATCCTAATTGTTACTTATCAGAGCATTAAAATATTTTGCCCCTGATGTTCCACACTGCTGAGGCCGCCCAAAATCCCAACAGCAAATGTGATGGCTCCAAAATGAGGTCTTTTCTTTCTCCTAACTCCCTGTCTTGCAGACCCTGCTGCAGGCTCTTCCTTAGCCCATTCCCCACCACTTTACAACCCTTCCACTAATCCCCAGCTTCCTCCTTTTGATTATTCATTTTCTGTGTGGCACTGATAAATTGCTTTCCTAAAGTTCAATTAGATTAGATTGCCTTTGACTGAAAAGAAGCTGCTATCAAAAAGCAAGATGTCGGGTTAGTCTGGCACAATCTATGTTTGGTGAATCTATTTTGTATTTTATCCCATATATCAGCATCCTATCTTTTAATTTTTCTATCTGTCAGATCCTTTTGTAAGATCCTGCATACTGCTGAAGCCATACCTTTTCTCCCTCTTTCCTCAGTGCAGACACTGCACTTCATTTTCTGCAGGAAAATTGCTGTCCTCTAATTTGACAAGCTTATTAAAAATGCTGTCCATCAGGCTTCCAGTTTCATGAGCTAAAAATACCACCCCAGAATGCCAAGTAACTATTTCGTTTTGAGCCTCTATCTGTCTCATCTCCTGCATATTTAAAGTTTTTTTGAGTTTTGCTGCTGCCTCAAATGGAGTGAATTTCACTCTGCACCTTTATTCCACTACTCATTTTTGTCAATGTATGTACTGGTCCTGATGAAGACTCAGATAAAGCATTTATGAAATGTCTGAAATAGAGCTTTTCTCCTCAGTACCCCTGTAGAGTGGCCGCCTTTTTTTTTCTCCCCTCTTCTCTATTTCAATTGGAAGATTATACAGCCTTTTAGATGTGCTTTAGCTTCCTTTATAGGGTCTAATGCAACCTGACAAAGTGAGAATTGTGAAAAGTCCTCCTCCTCTCATAGTTTGCCTTCCTTTTGACATTCGGTGCATTTACACCCTCCAACTCATTTTTCCCCAAACAAAGACAGGGTCAGATTTTCTGCCAGCCACATTCTTTGCATCTCACTTGTAAACAAGAGCAAATGTGATAATTGCTCCAGCGTGGATGAAGAGGAAAGTCAGGAAGCACAGCGGATAGAAACGTGACTCGGAAAAAGCTGGGCTCCACTGTGCCAGAAGACAGAGGCAGAATAAATATCCCTTCAACACCTCATTCTCTCATACTACAAGGAAGTTTCTCTCAAGTACACGCTGGAGATCAGACACTGCCTTTCCATGGTAAGGGTTTTCACATAGAAATTTCCCACTTTTCTTCAGAAATTAATTTTTTCCCCTCTATGCCACCTTAACTTCCCACATTATGACCGACGAGAGAAGTAGAAGCAGAAGTCTTGGAAAACCCCGAGGAAGAGAAGTCATAGTAATAGGTAAGACACTGCTATGCAAAAGTCAGCTCTGATCTCACACAAGCCTTTTACCCAGTTTAAGGGACTGGCCAAGTGGCCACACAGCTAGAAAGTGCTTTCCAGCTTTGCTTGGCTATGGAAGAAAAGTCTTCTGAACTCAATCCCCCAATTCTTTTGCCTGATCTCAAAACCTTCTCATCACCTAGAGTCCTCTCCAAACATTTTCTGATGGGAATCACACAGCCCAAAGGGTTCCAGCGTAAGCAAGAGGAAATTATAAACTGAAAATATGAAGAGTCCTCTCCAAACGTTTTCTGATGGGAATCACACAGCCCAAAGCAAGAGGAAATTATAAACTGAAAATATGGCAGCCAGTTTACAAACCAAAAAAAGTAAGTTTCTTACAGCTCAAAGCCTTGTAAAAGAAAATAATTATGAAGGATGTTTTCCTCTAGTTCTGTTTTACTCCATCTCCTCCCACACAAGCCGTAGCACCCCAGAGTAATTGATGCTGTACAGCACAATACTTAGGACTGCTCTTTTCTCTCTCCTTGGAGGTACCATCTCCAAATCTGTCTTGGGAAGCACATTTTAATAGAAAGACTTGGAGCTGCCCCTCTTGCAGCCCTCCCTGCTCTCACACTCCTAGAGGTAGTAGTAAGAGGGAGCCCTGGGGAAGACTTGCAGCTCTTTCCACTTTTTTGGGGATGATGACGTACTGCGCAAGCAAGGAGAGCTCCCAAAATCAGAACCGGGGTGAAATGCTGCAGGGCTCTATCAAAGAGATTTCATCCAAGTCTCTGCTGCAGCCCCTGGGTACCCCACACCACTGCCAACCCCGGCATCCAGGGCAGGGGGAGAGGGAAGGAGGCCACCCTTCAAATCCTGAGCTGAACATCCAGACATTCAAAACTGGAATTCACGTTTCAGACTTAGAATCCAACTTCCTTGAAGAGCTGGACAGTCCTAAAAACCACATCTATGTTGTGCAGTATTACATAGAGCAACGCTCACAGGTGATTAGGCACTTTCTTGCCAAAATGCCATTTATTGCAGTATACCTTTGCATGGCATACAGATAACCAAATGTTGCATCTTCTGTTAGAACTCATATTTCATTTGTACCACTTAAATAACACAGAATGTCATGTTTGTTTCACAAACTGTCAGTTTCTACTACCAAAATATACAGTTTTTTTCCTTTCCCCCCAGCAAGGTTATGAGGTACAACTGAAGTTTACCACTTTATCTTCCTGTGCTTTACAAGAACCTTTTCATAGATAAACCTATCAAACATTTCTACATTCCTATACAAAGCAAAGAATTACAGCTGAAATTAACACCATCTGGTCATTGCATTAACCTATAAAAATTCATTCAGTAAAAAAAAAAAAAAAAAAAAAGAGACTTAATGGACTTTGCAGCTTTACTTAACAACAGCTAGCTACACGTATGCACAGGTTTTCCTCGTGCATAAAGAAGAGTTTGGAATCAAGAAGTGGCATTTATTTTTATTTTTCCTAGGGTTTGCAGAGAAGGCACCAATTTTAGCTGCGTAGCAGCCGAGGAGTGTTATATACTTCATTTAAATTACACAGGTTTTTAAGTTTTACCTTTAATGTGCAACATTTGTCCCAACTGTTGCAATGTTCTCCAATCATTCATTCCCTCTGGCTCAACAGTACAAATATTTACATCAGTTGTAAACACTCCTCCACCCACCCCATACCTTCTGCACTGAGTGATGAGGAACTGAACTCGCAAGAAGCTAACCAAAGGCACAGCAGAAGTAAGGCTTGTGCAGAACACCACACTCTTCTTCTCACTCAATTTTGGGATATTCTGGAGAACTCCAGACCCTCAATGAGGCCTCGGCGCCTCACATCGGACAGCACATTGACCACCAACAGCTTCAGGCATCCAGACTTTCCTCAGGAGGTGCTTTTCGGCCCTTACTAGTCTGACATCCCTGGAGCTGCTTCTCTCCAAAGTGCAGGAACAGCTTCTGAAGAACCGTTCCGGAGTCGTGAGAGTCAAGCACGCTAATTGTTGTGTATATATATATATTTATCTATATTTAAGGCCATCTACACTTCAGCCTTCACCAGGCTTGTTTCAGATGCTACGCTTCTCTACTCCTCCTTAGCTGCGAAGTCACGATCTGCTGCTTTCTGCCTCCCACCCCTGTGTGCCCAGGTGTCCTGTGGCACAGGCAGCAGACCATGGTCCCAGACAACCGCTGTAAACAGTGCGCAGAGAGGTAGGGGCTACCACACGCCATGGGCCACCTGGCCACTACGTGGTAGCACGGGGCTAAGAGGACTTGCAGCACGACAGCCCAGCCTACAGTCAGCATCTTAGAAAAGGCAATGCCTGAGATGAGACTGCTTGGAAAAAAAAGAAAAAAAAAAACCAGAAAAAAAAAAATTATCTATTTCTTACCTAAGCCTAGAGAGAGCAAGGGGGTAGTGGGACAGCCCAATGCTATTGGTGAAATGAACTCTCCACTTCAGTTTTGGGGTTTGTTTTGTATTAGTGTACGCACCAACTGCTTCGGAACTGATTCTGAGTATGGGATAATGCTTTCCAAAATATAAGTTACTTTAAACCACGTGACAGTCATTTGCTTACCCTGCCCCTCACACCTCCTTTCACTAGAGATCACATTCAGCTTGATGTTTCATAGTCATTAAGTGCTCCAAATAAGAGTTAGAAAGAGCCAGAGGATTGCAGTGTACCAAATATCTGCCCAGCACAGCCATTTGTTACACTTAAAACACGTTTATGAGTTAAATAGGAAGGATCCCTGCTATACAGAATTTGAGCACTGATATATGTTTATTCTCGCTAGCCCTTTCCCTAAATATCAAGAGGTTTATACACACAGTGCTCCCTTATCTTCTCCCCACCGCCTGCCCCAGCAGTCTTTAGATAAACCAAAGTGAGTTTAGGAACTTGGAGTCCCACTTCTGTTGAAAAAAAAAATAAAAAATTAAAAAGTTGTGCAAGAAAGCAGGGAATGTTCAATGAATCCAGATCTACTTTGTAGTTATAAAATTTCCAATGGCAAAGTGGTAAGGGCAAACAACCCAATGATCATATGGCTTAAGTTTAATGCAAAGCACACTAGGAGGTCCACGTGCAGGGAGAGAAGAGTCCAAGAAAGATGGAATAAGAAATGTCCTGAAGATCAGTGTTTATGCATAGAATTCTTCTTGTTTGTGTGGTTTTTGGTATCCTCCGTTAGACTGTTTTGGTTCATCCAGTGAATAGCTGCCTTCGTCCTTTTTCTTCATTCTATACAGCATAAATGCAACTAGAAACACTGCAAACACCAAGCCTACTAGTCCTCCAGCAATAACACCTAGAAGGGGGAAAGAAACACAAATTACTCTAGGCACCATACCAGATAAAGCTAGCATGATTACAAGTTCCAGGTTGTTCCTTACTGCGCGGTCCCTGACCTCATAACTTCCAGAAATTCATTTGTCCTTTTGCCCCCTCCCAAACCAGTCATCCTGCCCAAAACCTGCTCATCTACATCAGGTAAACCTGGGGAAACAGATCTCCCACCGGACCGTGCTGCAAAGCACATGAGGCTGCGTTGTTCAACTCTAGTAATTTGACCCAGGCAGCACGAGTCTATTTTGACTGTCATTTTTGAGAGAAGCAACGGAATAGGTTTAAACATAAAATGCCAAATAATTAGCAGTGGTTGCTTTGCTATTAGCAGACTAATATTTGCCCTGTCAGGGTTTTTTACAACACAAGATTGTGAATCGCCACACTCATTTCAGAGGTCTAACATAAAAGGTTGCCTTTCACGTTCAGAGATGTGAACTCTGCAGAACTGCAGCTTCTGCTGCCTGGAAGGCTCCTATGAGAGTCTGCTTTTACCAACTAGAAATCCAGAATATCAGGTACCTCCAAGAACTTCTTTTCTGTCCATAATTCCTGAGGCTCCTGCTGCTTTGGCATTCCTCCCGGAGTCAGCCAGCACTTCTGAGTTCTGGGTGGGGACCAAATCCTCATCTTTAGTCAAGATGAAGTCTCCCTGTTGGGACATACAAGGCAGGTTATTCATGTTTCTCATCACGTCTTGTTACTGGAGACTTCCCACAGCTTCGCTTTTTCTCATCTAAAACCCTCCACCAATATAGCCTATTAAATCAATCACTTGTTTACTAAAGCCATCTCCCTGGAAAGGGCGTCAAAGCTATTAGTCCTCACCGGGTCTCCAGAGCCATCTTCAGAAACCTCCTCATGTGTAGGAACCACGTCCTGTGGAGCCGTCGTTGTGGGGGCGGCAGCAATGTCTCCCTCATGATGGACGGTAGAGTGAGGCTCAGGCACATCTTTAGTGTCGGGCACATCAGAGCTAGGGATTTTAGGTTCGAGCTCATGGACCACGCCTGAGGCTTCTGAAGGAGTTACATGAACCACTGAAGGAAAGTGAGTAGTGGGGCTTCTCACTGTTGTTGTCACTGCGTCGTTTGTTGGTTTCTCATCAGGTGAGCCCAGGATGGGTACTTCGTTCTTCACAGCTACAACTGGCTCCTCTGTCACTACATTACTAGTGGCAGAAGGAGATACTGCTTCCTTTTCAGTTCGGCTCTCAATCCCCGGAAATGGCTGTTCATTGAAATCCATTGGTGTTACCAGCAATGAGGAATTAGTTGGCTCTCCTGGGATTCTCCAGGTGCGAGACTGGTCAGTCAGGGGACCTGCAAAACAAACAAGCAAAAATATTATTCTTGGACAGTTTAGAGACCTGTCAATAGCATCTTCAGGGCACAGGTCTAAGGAGGATGCCTTAACCTGCATAGCCAATTTTCAAAATATCCACAGCTGAGTTTGTAATTCCTTATCCTGTTCAGTGGAGTAAGGCAGGGACAGACCAATGTGCTATTCAGCAATACTTTGTTAGTCATCTGCTTCTCCCCAAGGCACAGGTGCTAGTCTGTTTGTGGACAGGTCAACAAGGGGGATGTCTGCATTCAGTAAACCATCCTGAGGAACCAGTGATCTGACTCTTTTCCCATAAATATCTTTTATGTGATTCAGAGCAGTCACCCATATACTCAACACCTTTAGTCACTGGTGCATTTGGGACTCACTGATTTCAGGGTCTCATTCCTGCAGAATTTTATCTAAAATACAAACATGTGGATGGAAGGAAGCTTTAGCTTTCAAAGGATGCTACTGAGCAAGCTATTTACTTCAGCACTGAACACCAATGGACTCCCTCACACAGTTTAATAGTCTGATAGACTTTCCCCCCACCCTAAACCCCCTTTACTCTGCTTTTAAAAAATTATGGTCCCTGAGAACTTGCACATCTGATAACAGATAAAAATCTGCACTTGATGTATGGCGGCAGGTTGAGGTTTAGACACCCTCAAATAGTATCTCCTACCAGCTCGTAAGAGAGGACAAAGGCCCTTCTTACGGTCTCTTTTCCCTATGAGTAAAGAATGACTCCAGCTTCATAACAATCTTCACGCAGTATCTCATATTAGCAGTGACATGGAGTATTCCCACTTCTGCTCCCTTTCAAGTCTCCTACAACTCATTTTCTGCCAACTGTTAGTATCTGAAGCAATACACTTGAATAGATAAGGCTCTTTCTCTGTTCCCAGCTCTCATATTTTGTGTGTGTGTGTGTGATTCCTCCCCCCCCTTTTTAGCTTGGATGCTCCTCAAGATCTTGATTGCCACATTCTGGAAGGATCAAGCATTAACAGTACAAGTGCTAATAACTCACCTGCACCTGAACCTGAGAATGCATCATCGTCATCACCAGATGAATCAAGATCTTCAGGAGGAAGGTTCAGATTTGTAGTTTGCTTGAAAGAGAAAGGAAAAAGGTGTGTTAGTGATGAGATTACTTAAAGTCGCCGTCTTGCTTGCACAGAGTCCTCCAAGGGCTCCTGAAGGTTACACAAGCTTCCTTTGTTCAGATTGCATTTTCTCATCTTTCTTCATTCCACTACCCCCCCAAAAGAGTAATTCTGGTTAGTCTATTCAGTGTTGGAAGGGTCAGTCTTGCTGTCTCCCTTCTCTGCACTGCTTCCAGGCTGCACTTGCTTTGGGAAAGGAAAAAGCAAGGAATCCGTTCAGAGCTGCGTCCTGGCAGCAACCAGTGCTCAGTCCTTGCACAACACAACCCCTCTGCTTCAGGTTCTGACCACCCATCTCTTCACTATCTAGCAACCACTACACCTGTGAATTACTGCATTACTTCTAAGGAGCAGAAAGGAAGGGGAGACAAAATAGTTTGGCTTCTCTGCCTTTCTGAGCTCTTCCAGCACTATCCACATATCTGAAACCACAGCATCTAACTGGAAGTAGAATGAGATTCCCTTTTCATAAGTGTGGGCGCTCAGACTAAGTCTTTAGATGGAAACCAGCCTTCCATGTAGGAGAACATAGCCCTGAGCTTTCTCCAGTTACGCTTCAAGGAGTACCCTAACCAGCACAGAAGTTCAGTTGCTGAAACAAGAGGCCAAACCCCTGTTTTACTGCACCTACTTGTCATAACACACAACGTTCAAAGCCGCTCAGGGTATCCAAACAAGACAACCCTAAATAAAGCACAGTGATTACTTCATTCATCTTGTTGGCCTCTGCTGTATACACTTACTGTTCCTGTCGGGACAACGTGGTTGACTCTCAGCTCATGACTAGCTCTAGGTTTATTTCTGCAGGGCTACCATTACCTCACCAGCTATTCTCCCATCTCAGCTTTCAGACCAAAGCCCTATAAGTCCCCTCTGAGTTTCATCTTTCCCCATTTTCCAGAATTTGGAATTCTGTCCCATCCTCAAGATGCCCTCATCATCCCTTTCCAGCACTGCCCCATCCACAAGTTTAGGAGATACTGCACTGCATCATCCAAGCTGATCATGGCTTTTATCAGGAGTGTGAAATCTCTTTTTATTATGTAAAAAGAACAACACACATTCTTGCCAGTTTTGCACCCAGGCTATAGCTTGCATTAACATGGTGTCACTTAAAAATGATGATAACACTCATCTTCATCCTAGGAAGAAGTTAGCCAGCACTACTATGATCTGTCAAACAAAGCAATTGAGCTCTCTCATTGTCACTTTATTACCTATATGGCTGTATTTATTGGCCCTATCTCCTTTTCAGTCTTTTAAGGTATCAGGTTTATCCAGTTTTGTCTTCCATCCTTAACACTTTATCCATTTCCCACATTTCCATAGAGCAATTAGTTTCCAAGGTGGTTAACTAGCCCATTAGATTCGACCTCTCCAAAGATAAAGAACGACACAAGCTGCCACCAGCTTAATCATAGCCAAGATCTTACCCCTTCTAGGCCATCATGGTAGTTAGATGACCTTTTTTAAATAACAAAAAAAAGTCATGTAAATATTAAACTTTTTCATACTCTCCTCTGGAAAACCAAACCAAACCACACCACTGTTCCTCAAGCTTCTGCAAGCATATTTCTAGAGTAATTTCTAGCAGGAAATCTTTTTGTTTAGCTACATGTCATGAGGTAATTGGGATTTTTAGATTTGTCCGTGCTTGCTTGCACTGTGCTTTTGCACTCATCCATGGAAAGTAGGTTAGATAAGTACTTCCTCTGAGTTTTCCTTCTGGTGTCAAAGGTCAGTGACTCACACAAGCTGATCTCACTACACTCCAAATATTAAAGAGTACTAATTGTTAGTGCAGAAGGAATAGAGAAAGTGCTTTGAGGCTTCCCAAACTCTGCTCCTTTGAGTGTCCTTTCTAGTGCATCCAGAAGTGAAATCTGGTTTTCAGAGCAAAAGGGGGATGCCTTCTCCTCCTGGTGGGAAGGCTCTACCTTGAACCAGTGAGAAAGCAATCTCTCCAGCTCTTCATGGAATAATACAGTTTCAGGTGCCACCATACACTTTTATCTAGGATCAAGGCTAACTTTCCTCCCGATCTGAATCTTCATACAGGATTTGCAAGAACACCTGTACAGATCTGATGGTCTGCAGACCTTAGTGACACTCCTGAAAGGATCACAGACCATCAGGAAATATAGCAACTCTTGATCTTGACTACTAAGCCAGCACCCCTTCCCTCCCTCTGTGGTGCTGATGGATGAAGCTTGTTCAGTTGTGCCATGCTTCTTTTCTTGTTATCCAGCATGTTCAGCCAGCTTACCCTTACTTTTCCCCTCACACCTGAGCTTCTGGCCTCTTCCCAGGCTCATCTCCTGCTTCTCCACAGCCTCTACCACATACTTATTTAAATCCTAGTTTGATTTCTGTGTCTTAGCGGGGATAGCTAGGTCTTCCTCAGAGGAGGACAGTCAAGTGCAGCCCAGTCTAAACCAATGGAGACCCATGCTGTTCCAGTGTAGAGTGGCCCACTTTGCTCAGCAGCCACTCTGCAAACATGAAGGCAGGCTCCTACTGGCTCCTGCCCCCTGAGGTCGACTACTGTACTTCAAAAGAGGAATAGAAAACATGATTAAGGATTAATAAAGTCTGATTTCCAGAGCTTTACATAAGAACTTAATGAAATTGCACTAAATGTGTCCTTCTACCCAGATGTCCCCAAGGGTCTTATCCCAAGATGCTCCTCTGGGAGTTGTGGCATCTCCCTTTGACCAGGTAGTTTGAGGCCTAGGACCTGAGAAGGACTTTCTTTGCCCCAGACACTCCAGGGACAGTGTGGGATGTGGATACCAGTCAGAATATCCATACAGGGACATAACTTCACGACATCATCCAATTTCATGACACATGAGCACTAAGGATCATTTGCCTAATTTATGTGAGTGTACAGTTTTATAAAGACCACACTTCTAGCTCCACAGACTACAGCTTCAGTAGGCATGGGAGGCAGTAGTAACCTTTCCTTGTGGCGCCACAAAATACAAGTGCTGCAGAAAGGTCATGCTTCTGTAACGACCTGCTGCTGAAGGGTTTCAGACACAGCAAGGTTAACATCAAACACTGAGTCGGGACAGCATGGGAAGGGATTGAACTAATTTGGGTTTGCATCAGGAAGACAGACCGTGCTGTTCAGACGACAAATGCCTCATGGTCAAGGCTTTTCCATGACCTTTTATTGCAGCCGAGTTACACCAATGAGAAAGGTTTTGATTAGTCAGGAGGATTAGGGGCGCAGAACACAGATTGAATCACCAGGTTGTGCTATCATATGAGAGAGCTGAAAATAAACTCCAGCTTAAAGCAAGATTGCTCTACCAACAACTTTGCATTACTTTAGCTCAAAATTTTATCATCAGACTGTTAGATATAATCAACTGATGTGGACGTGCTTTCAGAAATTACTTCCATCATCATCGAGTTTAATTTTCAGTCCACTGAGACTATTTGTGGACCATTCCCATTGGAACTGATGCCAGAAAGGCTGGCTGAATGCATTTAATTTTAGGTGGTAGATGCTTTGAAGGATCTCTGATGGTATCTCATGTATTCTTGTCAAAAAACTTTCAGTTCTTATACTGCCCCTAACATGTTGCCTTTTTTTTTTTCCTTTTACCATTTAACAAGCTTATATTTTTTTAGTTGATGGTTGTTATTTTTTAGCAGCTCAGACAACTGATTGGAAATACTTGCCTAGCCCTTCTGAAGTCACTGAATTCGGTTGCATGCAAAGGGTGAAATTTGTAAACAGCATTTTTGATATGCATTAACCAGTTCCCATTAACCAGTGGAAGACCCCCTTCCCCAAGTATCAGCACAGCCTGTTTTGGGGAAACCCTGGGGAGGCTCTTAGCCCCTGCTCTTGCTGAGCTCTGTATTGTTGGGGAACAATAGTTATTCAGTTCTGCTGGGACAACCAGAAAGCTGCTTAGTGGCATCTTCAATTTAATCAAGAATGGGCCAGGCTTTCACAAATCATTAGCAATATTATTGGCTCCAGAAGTCTGGCACACTTCAGACTTTTGGGTTTGGTTGTTTTTTTTTTAAAGCATCGTTTCTAACTATTCTTCAGTCTTCGTCTTGGTTCAGTCTCAAAACATGAATCTTTCGTGTTTCATGCTTATCCCAATCAGCTGCCACAGAGGTCCCTCCTGCTAAAGCACAGATTTGAAGTACTTTCTCATGACGAAGGGGAGATTTGGAGTTTATTAGTCGATCTCACCCCACCCAAACTGGGAACCACATTTCTTTAATTTGGAGCCATGATATATGTAAAAGGAAGCAGCTTTTTTTTTTTTTTTTCCAAATTGCTCTTTGAGGTAAGCAAAAACACTGGCTTTGTCACAAGCTGCTACAAGCCCTAAACTAGATTAAGGATGATTTGTATCCCACTCTTATTAATCCGAGTTAGCAATCAGCCTATTGCAGCAGCGTCAAACACCCTTGAAATCCTCCATTATCTGAATAATGCTGTTAAATTTGCACATTGGTTTCTCATAATAGATCCTTCTTATTCAGCTGAAAAGGAATGAGCTGTAACGAGCTCTCCCACCTCATATGCTTCCCTGAGCACCCTGCAAGATTCTTCTGACTTTATGGGAAGCCAAACCAATGAGAAAAAAGACAAGCATTTACTTTCCAGTTTGCCTACCAAATATAACATTGGAGCATCTAGGAAAAAAAAAAAAGACTATCACAAGGATTTGAACAGCTGTAGAATAAACTCAAACAGAAAGGTTTGTCCTTCGCCACCTTCTATACGTTGAAGAGCAAAGCTAGACCCACTAACAGACACGCTATCTGATGCAGAGCAGCATGAAGAGCTTCTAGCCTCAAAATATTGATATTACTGTGTGGGAAGACAAAGACATCTGCTGAAAGAAACTGTAGCTTTGTTAAAGCTTGATATTCTGCAGTTAATAGCCCACACCTGATTAAGTCAAGTCCCAGATGTCTTAAACGATTATGAGGGGGGAAA